AATCTCGTAGGATCGCGCTTCGCTTCATCTTACAGGTGCTGGTTATCACCCAGGCAACACCCCAAAAAGTAATATACATTTTCTTTTTCACCCAGTGCATTCCAATCTTTGATTCTCTTCTTTGTCAATAAGTCATAAAATTGATAAAAAAATGACGATCTCCGGTCTACGTTTTAAAACCGGACAGCGTAGTATAAGAATAAAATAACATCCATGATCATTCGGTAGTTTAATAAACAGTCGATAAATAAATAAATAAATAAATAAATAAATGGTATTGGATAATTATACGTAGAAATAAGAAGAAGAAACAACATCGATCATCATTCGGTAATAGAATCGGTAATAAATAAATGGTATTATTAAATTATACGTAGAAAGAAGAAGAAAACATGTTTATTCTTTTTGCTTCTTTTTTTTTTTTTTTTTTTTTTTTTTTAATATATATATATATATATGTGCGCGTGTGCGTGTGCGTGTGCGTGTGCGTGTATGACCCTGACAGAGATTTCAATTAGTTTCGAGTAATTGTAGACTAGGATGAATCATTTTGGGGGTGAAGATATATCAGTAGTCTAGAATCCGCTCTCTTTTTAGGGCACAACAATGCACGAGGGTGAATCTCAGGTGGTTGGCAATTTCGACCAAAAATAAATCTGTTCGTTTATTAGGAGCGATCTCTATAATGCTTGCTAATTGCTTCTCTGATCATGTACACGGCGTAGCGCGCACTCAGTTTCTCTGTTGACGTGCGACGTTACGTTACGCATCCCCTCGCGTACGCCACCCCCGGAGCTTCGAGTCGCTGGGGCGTTGCGTTTCATACTCCGACAATTCCCCTTTTCCTTTATTTTTTTTTTCCTCCTATTCGCTCACCCTCGTTATACACTTGCATTTGGTACCTGCTGCTCCGAAAGGTACACGGGTGCCACCAATAGGACCCCGGTTATAATACTACATAATGGGAGTGACGTGTTTCGGCCAACGCGCGTCCCGAACTCTTAATTCTCTCCCCCCCCCCTACTCTTCCACCCATACGCGCGCGTGCGCGCACCCATGCAATATATTAATTATGCATATTATCAATATATATATATATTCGCACACATGCAGAGATTCAGACGTAAACTATGCACAGCTACGATGCATACGTAAATATGTGTGCGCGTGTGCTTATGCATGCGCACCCGCAGAGAACGTACATATCTTTATCTCTCTCTCTCTCTCTCTCTCTCTCTCTCTCTCTCTAAAGCTGTCTTTTTTTCTGTATATCGTGTTTCTCACTCGGAGATTATATTGAATGTAGCTCGTTGCTCACCTGCGGGAAAAAGAAACTTGTGTCTCAATAAAAAATTATACAGACGAGTGTCGCATAAGACAACCTTTTAAAGGTTAGGTTTCATCTGACTATTTCTCAAATCCGCGCACGTCCATTAAAATAAAAAAAGTAGTCGTTGCTTCGATGGTCGTTTGCGAACAACGTCGGCGATAAGAGTTCGCTTACGACTGATGTTATACGCTTTCTTACATTCTTTAAATCTTTTCCGTCTGCTACGACAGTCGTCAGACATCCGATATCTCGCACCGTTCTTTCCTACTACACTCGAATAATGTTTATTAGGTAAATTGCAATTTAAGATTTTTCTTTCATGCTATTTAATACTGCCGAAGGGGAATGACCGGGCTCGTATGACAATACTAATTAAAAATAATGATTATCTTAATTTAACTAAAAGTTGTTAATTAAGCATTAAGATATTTTTCTAACCAAAATTTTATGTATTATGTATTGGAAGAAAATTATATCAAACTTATTTATTTACGTAATTATCATTTTTCCATTTAATACTATTAATGCATTTTTTCATAATCAATAAATATAACATCAACATATGATTAATTACGATGTAGATGTTTTATTTTAAGATAAGAATCTCTTTAATAGACGAGCATTGCCCTTGCTGTACACGAAGACAGATATTATTGACATTTGGATAAGAGACACAGGAGTTGCTATGTACATCTATAACTATAGTATACATTTATGTATGTGAATTGTAGAGCCATCCCTACAGAAACAGAGAGGACGAAGTGGCGGTGATACGTCTTACACAGAGAGAGGTGAGGGAGTTATTGCCATGACTACGACAGGAGCCCAGTATGCTCTAGCAGCATCCGCTGGGGCTGCTAATGGCGGGGGCAATTCCGCGGTGGGGGTTGAAAGCAAACCGAGTGTCGTCGTTGTTACTACTTCTAATTCCAATGGTAGTGGTAGTGCTGCCCAGTCACAATCCGGTCGAGGTCAACAGTTAATCACAGTAGTTACTAGCGGTGATCCTTCAAGCCCAAATAGTTTACAACCCATTCAGGTATTTGTAATAAAATCATAGCAATTATTATATAAATTAAATTATACGTGTGATTGAAGGTCTTTGTGCAACAGAAATATCTTTATTCTTTATTAATAATACAGTTAGAAGATATTTTATTCTTTTAATAGCTATTTTTACATATTAGATATTTTTACATACTGTAATAAATAATTGCAATGTAGATAACAATATTAATATCAAAATATGCAATTTTCTAATTAATCCATTAATATCTGTTATGCTTAAATAATTATCTGTCGTGATTAAGCTTTGATAATAAAAGTGATAAGATATAATGTAAAAGTATGGAAATTCTTATAACAGCATAGTGTTTCTCCTTTACTGTTGCCAATATTAAATGAAAATTGTTTTAAATTTTTATAACGACGGAGCTTTATAAATGTTAATGATTATTATTTAGCTGCTGGTTCAAGATTCTTTGGATGCAACTGCTGATTCGTCAAATGGATCGTCAGGCACACAAGCTCACGTAACAGCACAAGTAGTTGTTAATACAACGCATTCTGGTCAGCACACGCTTGTGGATTCTGATTCTGCATCGACATCGGCTGGTACAATTGTCAGTAGCTCGCCGCATTATATCACTGTTACAGGTAATTTAATTGAACAACAAATATAATTTATTTGCGCTTAAAGTGAAGTATACATAAACTTGCATAAAGTATCAAAGTGTAAAAAAAATATATGCATCGTAATAGAAAAAAAGAGAAAAAAATTATATTGGGGTAGTAAATATGATTATTATGGTACTGCTTGTTAAATGCACATTTCTCACTACACACTGACTTTGCTAGGCACCAGTGATTCGCCATCATACGCCTCCCTCACAACAGCTGTAGGTGAGGGAAATCATTTTCAACTGCATAAAATGTTTGCTGTTTCTTCATAAGCATCTTATTATATGATTTAATAAACATTTTTATTTTGCCCCTTTTATATTGATTGTTTATGAATAATGATGTGCACTTTTTTATGTACACTATATGCTTGATGTCATTGACTATTGTTAACGGATTGCAATGGTAATTTATAGCAATGAAAATAAAAAAATATATTATTGTTCCAGTGCCGGGAGACGCTGACGCCGTGGGTTCCGAATCGGTTACTCATCCTACTTATGTTCAATATGTGGAGGGCGATGGATCCACGTACATACCGGCTAATGGACAGATGTAATTATATACTATTATTAAACATTATCCGTCTTATTGAGAGATAAACAGTAAAAGTGATCTCTGTTACAGGACATATCCCGTGTATGCAGTTGGAGAGGCGGGAACAATGTACACTCCCGCCTCCAACCAATATTACACTTCAACTTCCACACCAGTAACCTATGCACAAGTAAGTTTTTCTTAACTTCAACGTCCTTCCGAAAACTACTGGAAAAGAAGATTGCTTAACATTTTAATAACATTACGACAAGCAATTTCAAATTTGCTAGGCTTTTTTTCTTTATTTGTATTTTTTTTTTGTTTTTTTTTTGGGTTTTTTGTTTTTTGTTTTTTTTTTTGTTTTTTTGTTTATATATATATAGTTCAATAACATTGCCAATTGTGCCATTAAAATGTGAAAGCAACTAAGTGTGCTCATTGTACGTTTGCAAAATTATATTGAATATTTAATTAAGGGAATGCATTCTAGGTCACTGGCTCAAGCACAACGACAGGGCAACTTTTGTCGCAGGGCACTGGAACGTACTTGATCCAGCAGAGTGTCGTAGACGGAGATCCCACAACGCACGCTTTAATATCGGCAGCGGCTGCCGCTCGCACCAGTCCACAAACCGAAAGTGCCGTAAGTACACGCTTATTCTGATCTCGGCGATGCCTCGTAAGCAAAGAAAAGGCAGAGAGGGAGAGAAAGAGAAAGAGAAAGAGAATAGAGAGCGAAGGAAAGAAAAAATAATAATAATAATAATAATAATAATAGTAAGTTTAAATAAACGTAAGACATCACATGCAACAATTGGTAATATCTAACAACGATTAACTAAGCCATTAATATAATAAGAGTACGCTTTAATAACGCATAAAAAATAATATCAATTGGCCAGACAACTGCATAACTGGCAATCGCTTAACGAAATAACCATAAGAGGCCTTTGCTTAATTCGCGTTTTACGTGGTAAAATGATTGGTGGACAGCGTACATTACTCTGGGACTGATTCCGCCGGCCGCAATCGGTGTACACGTGAAATCGGGTTTCTTTCATAGGATGCTGTTGTTAGCGGGGGTGGAGGGGCATACTTGATCAGCGGTAACTCGACGAGTGCTCCTGTCAGCGTGGAAGATGCGGCTACCGCCGCGGCGAATATGACGCATGCCACTCGGGTCTCCCAGGCCACCGTAAGCCATACTACTACTCATACCCCATTTGTTAGCTCTATTTTTAAATTATTACTTTGCCTTTAGTTAACTAATACAATGCCTTGTGCCGTATGTATTGTTTTCATTATGCTATATCGCTTCTGCCATCTTTTGCTCATTAACTTGGTGCACCGCTGTTCATATCGCCTTTGCTATTTTCTCATTTTATGTTTGTTTTTGTTTGTTATCAAAGCTTCTTCTTTCTGCGCATTTCATTATTACAACGTGACCACGTTTTTATGTTAATGTCGAGTAAAGATAGAATAATGACAACGAGTATGTGGGGATTTAATGGTACGTAGACAAGAATGACAAATATTAAATGGAGGGAGATGAAGGAACGTAAATCACGAGTGAACGTGGCTGAAATTTTTAATTGAAAAATGATTGAGCCACAGAAGTTATTCATCCGTAGTTATTAACGTCTTATACACAACTCATTATATTCTCATTTTATAATGGGAAAAACATTTATGTGTAGTCAGTCGGCAGGACAATCAAGTATAAGCAGTGAATATTAAGTAAATAAATTATTGATTTATTACAGTTAAATTTTGCCCAACTTTTGTTCGTCTTAATTGATTCCTTCAAAAGCTTTACTTTTTTTACTTTATAATATATATCGCATAAGTTTTTAAAATATTCATTATCTATAATTTAATTTTATAAATAATTTATCATTATATCTGATATATTTCGATATCAAAAAAATATGCCTAAGCCGTTTCAAGCAAATTCCAGCCTTGTATATCAAGTTTGTATTTTTTCTTTTCTTTTAATTTGAAATATTTATGCTTACTTTTTATATAACATTGTTCCTAATGGTAAAAAGCTACATATATCAGTAAATGTTGTTATTATTCGTACAAAAATACTGTTATATTCGTAAAATTTAATACGTATCCTTTTAAAATATCTTTTAAAATCACTTTTCCCATAATACCTCATTTACCATACTTAACATTAAAAATGATCTTATCAAATATTTTACTTGAGATTTTCAGATGGATTAATATCTTTATTTAATCAATAAAAATATTTTTTAACAACAAAGCAGTCTTTTAATAATGTTGTATAAAATTTAATAAAGTTTTTTTTTTTTTTGTTTGTTTTTGTTTTTAATCAAACCATTATGCATACTCGTTGACATATTATTCTAATGAAAATAATTACGATGGAAAACAATTTTCTTTGAAAGTAAACGAAACTTTCAAAAATAACTTCACCATTTGTTTTGTTATACTTAAACGTCGATATTAGAACATTCACCTATCTATTTATTTATTTATTTATCCGTTTCTTTGTAAAAATGTGCACAAGTGTGGTCGATATACATTACGATAGTAAGTGAAAATTCTACAATAAAATTCTTCTGCACGTAGGTGCAATGGTTATTGGAAAATTACGAGACAGCTGATGGAGTTTCGCTTCCGAGATCAACATTATACAATCATTACCTCCGCCACTGTTCCGATAATAAATTAGATCCTGTAAATGCAGCTAGTTTTGGAAAACTCATTAGATCTGTATTTTTGGGCTTACGCACACGACGACTTGGAACTCGGTAAACGTTTAATTTAAATTTATTTATATTATTCATAATTGACGACCAAGGAGGGTAGTAAAATTGATTATTATTTCGATTGCTTTAATGGTCATATTTACATCTCGTAAATTTTATTGGACACGTGCAGTCGTGTGAAGGAAGCATTGAAAATCTTCCCAAATTTGCCGATATTAACGATCGATTAATATATTATTATTTCCCATACAAAACGATGTTCAATGGTATTCTTAACAATGTATTGGAATGATTATTTCAATCGTCTTATGATATTCAATATTTATGCATAAAGCAAATGAATGAAATTAACTTTAAATTGAAAGATGTAGAACGGAATTTTTCATAATTACATAAGCACGATCGACGAAAAGCTTATATTTTGGGAACGAAATCACGGGAAATTCAAACGGAGCGCCTTTGACTTTTCTAGGGGTAACTCAAAGTATCATTATTATGGAATCCGAGTAAAACCGAGCTCGCCTCTAGTGATGCTTAACGAGGACGGCACGTCGCGTCAACAGACGACTTCCAATTCCCAGACGAACAAGCGAATAAAGTTCGTAAACCAGAAACAGTCGGAGACGTCGTATGAGACGAGTTCTCAGCCGAACAACACGAGCATCACCTCGAACGCGTCACCACCTCAATATCATCAGTACCTGGGCGAGGCGAGTTGCGCCATACCTGAGTTTCCGGAGATCATTGTCGGTCACGGCTCTAGTCTACCCGAAGATTGTACCCTCGAGGATATAGACACCTTCCGTAGTATATACAGAGAACACTGCGAGGCCTTCCTCGACGCTGTCCTTAACTTTGAGTTCGCGACCGTCGAGAGCCTCTGGCGCGAATTCTGGCGTAGCCAAGATAATAACAACGGTGACGAGTGCGAAGAGGAGAAGTATTTGTCTAAGTAAAGATTTTAAATAACTCTATTTGGATAACTTGACGATTATTGCACTTATTATGCAAACAGTTGATGTTTCAGTATTAATTAATTTGTATGAATGCAATTAAAACAAAATATATATTGACGAATTTTAGTATCATAAGCAAAAATTGAATGATTAGATTCGTAATTATCGTATTACCGTTATGTACTTTTACCTTTATTCACAGTTTATGATAATAATTAAATTTTAATTCAATATAAAATCATTCAAAAATAAATATTTGCTTTTGATAAGATGCATGTAAATTGCATTTAATTATTTACACATTCAATATATATATATATTAATTTTAATAATAATAATAATAATAATAGGAACAAAAATTTCACTATAACAACTTTGTAAATATTACATAAAAACTAAATATTTGAATTAAAATATCGTTTTTTTTTTTTTTTTTTTTTGCATAGAACAAAACTTTATCAAATGTGTAAGTGTATCGAAGTACAAGATTTTATCAGAAGAGTCGATTATACATTTTATCAGAATCTTGTCGAAGTACTAATGCCCGACGTTCTAAGACCTATACCAAGTGAGTATTTCATTATTAGTTTATCTTCTTTAAAAAAAAAAAAAAAAAAAAAAAAAACTAGCTTATTAAATTCATACATCACTTATCAGGTCCTCTAACACAATCCATTAGAAATTTTGCAAAAGGCTTAGAATCCTGGTTAACTTCAGCTATGAACGACTGCCCTGAAGAGATGATGCACATTAAAGTTGGTAAAATTTTACGACATAAATAAAATATAAACGAAATAGCTTCTCATCGAATATCATTGGTTATTTAACAGTTGACGGCTGTATCAGCATTCGCCCAAACCTTGAGAAGATACACGTCCTTAAATCACTTGGCTCAAGCAGCTCGAGCCGTACTTCAAAACAACAGTCAGATTAACCAAATGTTGGCGGATTTAAATCGAGTCGATTTTCATAATGTACAGGAGCAGGTATTTGATTGATCCTTTATAACTGCGTTAATTCAGCCCTTTAACAATATACTAATAAATGATTTAACTTTAGGCTTCTTGGGTTTGCCAATGCGATTATGCAGTTGTGCAACGTTTGGAAGCAGATTTCAAAGTAACTTTACAGCAGCAGAATTCATTGGAACAATGGGCTGTGTGGCTGAAAGGAGTCGTGACACAAGTACTTCAGCCTTATGAAGGCAAACCTACTTTTGCCAAAGCAGCAAGACAGTTCCTGCTTAAGTGGTCTTTTTACAGCTCAATGGTTATAAGGGATTTGACTTTAAGAAGTGCCGCTAGTTTTGGATCTTTTCATCTCATTCGCCTACTTTACGATGAGTATATGTTCTATTTAATTGAACATCAGGTTGCTATCTCCACGGGTACAACGCCAATTGCGGTAATGGGAGACGTAAGAATGTATTTTTGGATTAAGTTCGATTAAGAGCATACGCGCTTCATTTATTATTTTACAAATTAAACTTCTATTTTTACAGAAAAGCCAAAACTGCTCTATGATTAATATTTTTGGATCGAACGGGGGTAATTATTGATCTCATTGCGTTTGGACTCTTAATTAAATTTAAAGAAATTTTGAGGATGTCTTAATTAATAATAAATCAATTGCTTGCGATTACAGATGTGTCAAGCATTTGTCCAACAAAACGAGTGAAATTGAGTTAACCATGTACCTGGACCCAGTAGAGCTTGATTCAAAAATCAGTAGGTGATAAAGAGCATTTGTTAAACACAGTGTATTTCTAGCACGAAAGAAGCAGGCCTACTAACACAAGCTAGTCTCACAAATTGTAATTTTTTATGGAAATAAGCGACAACACAGTAACACCGAAACTTCTATATATTGCTCAAAGACTTGCTATCCGTGAAAGCTGCTTAATCAATTTATGTGATATAAGGAGTAAGAGTACACATAGTGCAAAGCCTTACGTGTGTTAAAAACGCACATCAACATATTTTTTTTGTTAATTGAATGAAAGTTACTATACCTTTTCGAATTGAATGATTTTAATGACTGGGACCATGAATGAATCATGTTCTCTTTTGAACAATCACGTTCAAATTAAAGTCCATCCTAATAACTGTCGTGTCACTGTAAATTAATTTATCATTGCTGTAAAAATATGAATTTTCTTTTTTTTTTAACTGTTTTATTTAATTATCAAGAAAAGTTTTTAATATTAGTATCTAAATGTTGATGAGAAAGTAAATAAGCTAAAGATAAAGCTCAATTGGAATTTCTTTTCATACTTTATTTCATAAGTTTTGCATCAAATCATTATTAAAAATCAATGGTATGTCTGATTTGCATAAAAATCATAAAATCCAACCTATTCATAGCTTGCGTAGATATTCCTATTCGATTAGAACAGATTACGATTAAGGCAATGTAAATGTTTTACTTACACAAATTACAAATAGGTTTTGAGCAACAATATTTTGTACCAGTCGCACAACAGATAAATTTCAAGAATGAATTCTTCTATGAAACGGTTTTTGAAGTACAAAACATTTACTGCGTTTCTGTAAATAATAAAACATGCAATTGATAAAATTGTTATGTTACTACAAAAAAAATTACGTACACTTATTAATTACAAATATATTTCAATTAATTTACATCAGCACCTTTAAAAAAGCTCCTATTGTAAAATAGAATCATAGCTCTTAATATATATTCAATGTATTTTGTTTATTTAGTACATTTCATAAGTCTTAAAGTTCAACCAAAATTTGAGTTTTTTTGAATTTAGCACTTATTTTACACTTACGCACATGACCACACATATAAAATATATATTTTTTATTTGTGAATGTGTGCGTATGTTTTCATATGCACTATAATACATACGTACACACGCGCGCGCGCGCGCGCACACACACACACACACACATATAATATATATATATATATATATATATATTTATGTATGTGTGTATACTATATACTTACAATTTCATTTTTCAAAGGTACTAACTATTAGAATTAGAATTAGAGCTTAATTCCAAACATCGAAAAACTTGAAAAAATGCCATTTATTTTTACAGTTGTAGTTAGCAGCTTCTTCATAATACTTTATTTTTAAATAAGACTTATTTATTAAGTACTTAAATAAAAATTTATGTTAGTAATAGTTATTAAGTCGTTGCAATTTTCATGCATACTTACTTTAATAAATTAACAAAATAACATTATTTATTAAATAAGAAGGCATTGCATACTAGTCAGAACTCCATAGGTTAAGCTAAAAAACAGGGATTGAATGTTTCAACGATATATTGATCGTGACTTGTAATTAATATTGCATTGTTATTAATTAATATACCTATAGGATAGATGAATTGTACACTCAAACATGAGAAAACAATTTCTATACTATAATGAGCTTATACATGTAAAAATATACTTAAGTGTATTTAATATAAGAACAGCTTATTTTAAAAATGGTTTGTACATGTTATTATTAGTAAAAAAAAAAAAAAAATCTCTAAAGACTAAAAATAAGAATTTTGTATGTGGATAGAAGACCAAAATAATTAATGATTTTCATTAATGAACATTTTTGAAGTATAATCTAAAAGAATTTAAAATAAAAAGAAACAATGGATATAATAAATAGTATACTACTTTAAAATTAACTTTCTTTCCACATAAATAATTCTAAATTGTGCTCTTAGACCACTCTACAATTTTATATATTTCATAAATGTAAAGGCAATAGAGACAATGACATTAAAAAGAAATGAAATATAGCCACATCGCACTGATGAATAAAAAGGATATTAATGATTTCTCTATTAAATGTAAACAAAACGGCCTTAAATTTTTTCAAATGTTAAACAGATAAAAATATACATGTCCTTGTAAGTTATAAAATAAGACATTAATAATCTGGCCTAAAAGGCGAAAAATACAAATATAAGAAAAAGTATCTCTGGATATATGATGTAAGAAATCGTTCATTACTTTCATTATTATTAGTAAACGAATAATATAATTTTGAGTGTAAAGAGTCTAGTCTTTATCATGATTTCACTTAAGCATAAATAATAACTTTTTTAAAAAATATTTTTCAGAGATATTTTTACGTATATTAAAGAACGTTACATCATTTACATGAAAATTTGATTAAAAATATTATTAATAATAGGTAATAAATATAGGAAATATTTTGATACTTCACGATTTGCACAAAAGTATAAATTAATAGTACTTACTACTTTAATAAATATTATAGTTTCGATTATTAACGTTATTTTCACTGAATATCACTAAATGTAGTTTCAAAAAGAAAAATTAATTGTAAGCCGATACAGAAGTTTTAAATGAAAAAAAATAAAAAAATATGTGAGTGTGCAAACCACAAAAGATTAAATAATATATGTTTAAAACTAAATATGTTGTGTTCTTGTAGTTACAATCCATATGTTTATACTTTTATTATAGTAATCATAAACTTTTTGTAATAAACTCTAATAACATTTTTGTTTTGTTTCAATTAATTTTTAATGTTATTATTACGTTTTACTGCGTTGCGTATTTTTTTTTCTTTTTTTTTTCAAATATATATTTTAATTTTAAAACTTTTCTTTTCCAATATTAGTTTCTATATTCATTTTTATTGTAATTATATTATATTAGTGATTTTCCATCTTATCTGTAAATAATATAAATAATAATTTTAACTTATTTTTCGACAACAGTTTAGATACGTAGGAATTGATACTCTAAATTGCTCGATTCATTACTAATATTTTAAAAGGATATAATTTCTTATGAAATTACAAGGTTTTAATTACATTATTTTAATGAATTTTCAAATGCATACTTTAATTTTTTTTAATTTTCAATTTTATAATCATATAATCCATTAAATCATTTAACGTTATCAGGAAATAAAAACTGATTTCAAATTATATATAAAATAAATGATTAAGGTTTTATCTTAAAAATATACAACGTGTTGTATATAATAAAAATAATTAGAATAATTCACATACACATCTTGTAAAATATTTACGAATACTCATTTTAAACAAATTTTTTCCAATAAGAATTTATTTAATAACAAAACATTTGAGTATTTTCTATTTACTTAACAATAATATTAATTCAGTCTCTTTAAAAGATATTACGATTAATTGTTGGTATTTTTAAATTAATAGTTTTTTTTAAATAACATTGTACAAAAAAAAAATCGTTTAGTTTTCTTTCAAAAGTTTTGATTTAAAATAACATAATTTGATTTTAGTAATCTTATAAGGCTACTTTATATATATATATATATATAATAATAATAATAATAATATCATAATGCATGATTAATAATGATACAGAGAAACGGAAATAAAGTTTCATTGATAAAGAAATAGAATGTAGAACAGGAAAAGTAATTAAGAATACAATAAGGGAAAGCACTAATGACAGTATGTGAAGTAGATAATTATAAAATTATCATGAAATTTTATTAAATTAATGATGCAATAATACAATCAATACTTTTTAATACCTACAAACATTTATTATAATAAAATTGTTGCTTTTTACTCGTGGACTCGAAAACAGCAACGAGTTAACTATTTATTTCGAATATAATGAATTGTGCGCTCTAATTGGTAATCAGTCACAATAGATTTGTTTTGTACAACGCTAGATTTTTTTATTAATGGAAATATTTTGAGAATCCGAGTAAGAAAGAGAGAGAGAGAGAGAGAAGGGAACAGATAATGCATGTGTGCAAATGTTCAATTTCATGCAAATGTCTCATTTGCCGATCGTATGGCTTAATTACAAATTATTAATGCTTTAATATTAATTTTATCGATTAAATGGTAAAGTAAGAATTGTTATAAAATGACATTAAAATTAACATTAATTGAATTTAAACGTAAAAGAAAAAAAATGATGTTCTTTGGTGCTGCGAGTGTTTGGTGTTGAGGATGATGTTACATTATTTAGATTAAAATATAATATTAAGGTCTGGAAAACCTTTTTATAAAGGTAAAATAATTAATTTTCAGCTAAATCATTACATATACATTTTTTATATATTGATCATATGTGTCCAAATGCAATTATATATATATTTAAAATAAATACTTAATATTTTGAATATAAAGTCTATCGAGGTTATATTATTTGTAAATATTAAAACTTAAAATGTAATGAATATTTGACATTTGAGTAAATAAATTTATAGAAATAAAAATTCATCATACAATTCTGATTTAAAAGCATTTTTATATTAAGAAAATTATTAACCGATATAGAAACAGTAAATAATCATACAAATAGGTTGTAATTGTAAATACCGATACTTTGTTATATGATGAATTGTATATTTCTAATAAATATTGAGGACAGCCATTATATATTAAAATAAAAGTTTTTAGCTTTAATTTCTAAAATAGATACTAAAACCAGATATGACAAAGTAGGGCTTCTTAAAGCAGCTATACAGATACTTTATTTAATTAAATAAAGTAGTAAAGACATTTTTTTTCTTTTTTATTAAAATATTGAATTGAAATGCCTGGTTCTTATAAAAATAAGGGAAAAATAAAAAAAAACATTGGTGTGTGATGTATTTATAGAATTTGAATTTTTAGATCTATTAGAATAACTGTATTTTATCTTTTTATAACATTTTTGTTTTATTATTTCATTAATTAGTTAACTTTTTTGTTTTCATAAAAAAATAGAATATAATGGCATTAGATTAGAAACCAGAATTCTAAATCATGAAAGTGATCTTGAGCCATTTATGGAAGAAAATACAGCAAAACAATCAAATATTAATGATATAGATGATAATTTGCCAAGCACCGTTACATTGCTGAGGACTCCAGATGGTGGTAAATGTTATGTAGTGGGAACTGCGCATTTTAGTATCGAAAGTCAAAACGATGTTTCAAGGGTATGAAAGATATAGTTTATATACAATATAATTTCTACAACGCATTAATACAAATGAGAATTCATTTAGATAATTCAAGCCGTACAACCACATATAATTACAGTTGAACTATGTATGGATAGAATTGACATTTTGAAGTTAGATGAAGAAAGAGTTCTTAGAGAAGCAAAAAATCTTAGTTTTAGTAAGTATTGTCTTAGTTTAGTGAAATTTAATCGGATGGCATTTAAATTCATAGATTTGATATTTTCACAGATGACATTATATATATTATTAAAGAGAATGGAATGAATAAAGGATTGCTGTTTATTTTAAGTTTTAAATTAATAGCTTACCTTACAAAAATTCTTGATTTAGCACCGGGAGGAGAATATCGAAGAGCTTTAATAGAGGTAAGAGTATTGCAAATGTTTATCTTTTTTATCAAATTATTTATTACTTATATAATAATTGGCACAGGCTAAAAAAATTCCAAACTGTCTTATTCATATGGGTGATAGGCCGATTAAAATAACATTTGCTAGAGCATGTGGTTATTTGACTTTGTGGCAGAAAATCAAACTTGCTTGGCAACTCTTGACACAAAATATTTCAATCAGTCGAGAAGATCTTGAGAAATATAAAAATCGAAATGTCGTAGAAGAAATAATAGTTGATTTAGCTAAAGAGTATCCTGTTTTAGAAGAAGTTTTTATTAAAGAACGAGATATATATTTAACATATTCGCTTCAGTTAGCATGTAAGCCTAAAATTGGAAAGCGTGGGGAGTTAATACCAGCAAAAGTTGTAGGAATTATTGGTATTGGACACATGCTGGGAATTGTTCAAAACTGGGGAAAAGTAAAAAAATGTCAAATACCGTTAATTATGAGGTAATTATTTTTATTTTTATTGCATTGCACGAAATTTGTTAATTGCTTTAATCAATACAAGAAAATTTTTTGAGATTTTTCAAAAGTAACAACTCCTTTATTACCTTTTTTTGTTTTATAATGCTTTTAATTTTTGCAGTACACCAGCAACTTCAGTTTCGAGCAAAATATTAAAACTTACAGCTAAAGTATCTATTATTGGTATTATTATTTATCTAGTATATAGATTTATTTCACTACGTTACTATTAGTATTAGTAAATACTATTAGTATATACAAGTGCGCTACTATTGTTTAATCCATCGTTAGAGGAACTTGTTAAGGTCAGTAGTAATTTATGAAAGAGCTCGAATAAAAAATTTCAATATACAAAGCTTTGCATTCAAATCCATTATGTTTCAGCGTCTATGTTTTTATTAAAAATTCTTTCGATACAATTAGCTTTTAATATTCGTTATCGAGAATAATAAGCATGGGCGCAACATCTTTTACCGACAACTATAATCATTTATTATCAGATATTATGTATATAGATAGTAATATTCCGGGTCCCGGGATTCAGATAGATGATTTTGAATCGCAGTTTTCAGTTGGCTGCTCTTGCTATCAAATTTGCAACGACGATTGCTCTTGTATCAGATATACTCGGAATTATATCGATAATCGACTGATATTTGATAACAAAAGTTCTATTATTGAATGTAATCCTAGTTGCAAATGTATGGAAAATTGCGGAAATCGATTAGTTCAGAATGGTCCACTTGATTGCTTAACAGTAAAAGTAGCTACTAATACTCTTATGGGCTTTGGCCTTTTTACAACAAAACTAATCCAAAAAGGGCAGTTCATTTGCGAATATGCTGGTGAAGTTATTGGTATCGATGAAGCTAAACGAAGATTTGAAGAGAACAAAATTCAAGGTCATATGAATTATGTACTCGTTGTTTCAGAATTTATTGGAGAAAAAAGAATAATGACTTGCATAGATCCATCAAAATTTGGAAATATTGGACGATATTCGAATCACAGTTGTCAACCGAATGCCATGCTCGTGCCTGTTCGAGTTGACATTATAGTACCACGGCTCTGCTTATTTGCTATCAAGGATATCGCATTTATGGAAGAAATAACGTTTAATTATGCGGGAGATGTTTGTACATCTAATCAGAATTTTAGCGAGACACCATGTCTATGTGGTTCTCTAGCTTGCATTGGATATTTACCGCATTGTCCAGTTTAAAAAGAAAAACTATGAAGTAAAATATATTTATAAATGTCATTATATAATTAAATTCAAATAATATTTTACATTCGGTGGAAGAATTTCTTTTGTATAAATTTAATTTTAATTGATAAGATTGTAAAAGTTTTTACAAATCTTATAATTCTTGTAGTGATGCTCTTTATAGGAATCCGTTGATTGAACAAAAAATTTTAATTTTATATTTAATTAACTATCAGCTGCAGCAATGAAATACAATAATATTATGAAACTAATGTGATAATAATATTTCTTAAAGGACTTTAATGGATAAAAATAAATATAAAAATTTTTGAAAAGTATTAATAATGCCAAATATATTTTTGAATAGTACTATTTTTTGTCTCCCTCTCTCGCCTTCCTTGAAATATATACACACATATATATATATATATATATATATATATATATGCGTGTTTATACACAATTCATGTATTCATAATTTTAGAGGAGGTTCATACTAATCTACATTATTATATTTATTATCCCCTTGTCATGTTCTAAGTCATTCGGTTATTTCACAACGAAGCAAGGCGTTTGTCGCTCAAATCTTCAAAAATACCTTCCCTTTGTGCTTATATGAAATATGTAACAATTTGTTGTGTCTAATAAATATGATGTAACTTTACTAACAAACGAAAACATTTAGTTTATTGAAAATTCCCCCCGTGAATTCCTCGTTCTTAAAATATAGAATTCCCCGAAATTTCTTTCACCTGCATTTGCCAATATCATTAAACGCGTAAATCAATAATACAACTAATGTAACAATTTAGCTACAAACAATGTCCTATATATTTCGAATGTAAGCAGCACATTGCATACGTAATATGACATGTGTAGAATTCAAGCAATTCTATACTTTGCTATACTTTGTAACAGCCCAAGTGTCCAATAGTGCCTTCTGTGCGCCTAATACTTTAACTTGGCTATAGCTATATACTCTTATTCATATCCGAATACATAATTCTGCTTAATAAGCATAACAGTTCGAGAACTTCCTGTTCTGTGTAACAACAGTTCGCATAAGCAGATAATACGTAATGAAATTGATAAAGCGTGCCAGTGAGTTACGTGAGTAACAAATTATAATGCGTAGCCACTGTCTTCAATGGTAAACGGAGAAACCTTCTTTTGTACTTTATATGTACAAACATCTGTGCATACAATGTTCAATACATGTTTTTAGTAGTCTTAGGCATGTAGTACAAAATTTTGAATATCGCTCTGTTATTAGAATATTCTAGTATGGCAGATAATAGAAATCCAAATGAATTGTAATTATAGCCGATTGAATAACGATCATTAAAGATAACTACGTTTAATGAACTAAAATACGTTTCATAAGATAATTAAGAGCATATATTTAAATATAATAAGATATAGTAAGATGAAGAAAGTAGTCGAAATGATCGGCGAAAGGAACTGACTGCTACAGTCTAGTTGATCGTAATTATATTTGATTTTATCTTTACGAAAACGTTTAAGAATTTATAAGCACCAAACTGTATATGCATTTAGGAAAAGCTACAAGTCCATTTAGTTTAATGGTATTGCTCGAGCTGAAACACTTAAGCCGCTTAAAAGTCATGAACAAAGAAATTAAAAAAATTAACACATCTTCCGTAGTTTTTTGTTAAGATAAATTAATACGTAGAAGACATTGATTGGTCATTGAAAGAGACAATCCCGTAATTATATTTTCGCAAAATTAAATGCATTATGTTAAATATTAACATCATCACTATCAAAGTTTTACTCAAATTCAAATTGAGTGTGAAATTACTTAACGACGATGCATTTATATACAAATATTGCAAATGATACAAATAACGAAGGGAAATGATTATGATGACGATATATCGAATAAAAGAAAAGAAAATCCATCATATCATAAATTCAACATATCAATTTATTTTAGTGAATAATAAAAATATGTAAGAACTGTATTTAATATTAAATATTCAATTACACAAATTAGTCTTTAAAAATATGGCAGCAAAAAGATTCCAATAGTGCACTTTAATAAATATCTGTATGTGTGTGTGTGTGCGCGCGCGCGCGCGCGTGTGCGTGTGTTTGCGTGCGCGCCCGTGCATGCGTTCGTACATTCTTAGATTATAATATACTATTTTAAAAGAATAATTTTTTGATTTATAGTGTTATTATAAATGTTATATTTTTTGGTAAATTTCTAAATAAATTATTACTAAAAGTATACAGTTAATAATTCAGTTGGACTTATCTTCGAAATATTATCATTAAAATATTACCGAACTCAAATAAAATATTATCGAATCCATGTTAAATGCATAATATTAAAAAAATAATATGTAATAGACTTAGAAAAAGAAATATCAATGAGATAGTATGCGATTATAAATAATAGATCGTTCGATCCAGTATACTAGATTTAAATGACAATGACAGGGATCGTTACAAATTGTATGTAAATAATTTGTGAAATGTGTATAGATCGTCAAAAATATTTTTGTTATTAATAAATTAAGAATAATTAATATATGATTTAGAAGTTATAGTTAATGAACCCGTTAATTTAGTTTAAAAAAAAAAGAAAAAAAAAACTATAAACACTATTTAAATGTTTTTACAATTCTTTTAATGGTACTTGATAATTTTTATAACGTTGTTCACGGAGTCGAACTTACTTTTAAAATATTGATAATTATAATCAATGTTAAAAATATAAAAACTGTATTACAATATTGTTTATTTCTTTAAATATCCATATAACATTTTGTATTCAAAATGCAACATAAAATTATTCTCCTTTATATTCAATTATTATTAATATTGTGTAAGTAGAGATATTTTTAAATATCTCATCATAAAGTGAAAATTAATATAATAAATCATAACGTCGATTTATTTTATGATTATCGGCATTCTTATATTTCAGGTATTTTCCAAGCCAATTTCCGGTCCGCACAAGCATCACCAATAATTGGCGATTTTCGATCGGTACAAATTAACGAATTTCCCTATGTTGTTTGCCTATCGGCATACGTACCTGGACGTTCTATGAGCGATAACATCTTCTGTTCAGGAACACTGATAGCGACGTATCATGTTTTAACGGCTGAACAGTGTTTCGAAAATATAGGAAATGATCCGATACAAATAATATTATCAACTGGTGATTTGACACATGGCACTCATACTTTTCCATTATGGTGGATATCCTATGATATGTGGGCTCACCATTCGAGATCACAAATAACAACAATATACAATAATATCGCCATAATAAAAGTAAATTCATCATTGGTTTGAAATATTTAAAATCCAATGCTCAATTGACTTTAAACTTTCATATAAACGCATTAGAGGATGAAAGTACTTAACTTTCCTAAGACACTTAAAAATAAAGCATATTGTTGTTGTTGTTGTTGTTGTTGTTACTGTTGTTGTTGTTGTTGTTTTTTTGTTTTTTTGTAGATATTTGGAGTGACACCGTCACTTCGCATAGCTCCACTATCGACAATATCACCATTGCGTTTATTGGAGGGATTTCGTGCTGAGTTATGTGGATGCAGTGTACGAAATGCTAATGCCAATCCGATAATGATGCAAAAGGCGGAAGTGAGAATTCTAAAGAGAGAGACCTGTGCGCATATTGTCTCAGAACTTGAAGGAGTAGAATTGGTTTTCCCAGACAATTATATATGCACTAACGCAAATCCAGTTGTGCATCTTGAAAATGTTAGTAGCCTCTTATTATTGGTATCGACTGATTTGATTTTTATACAAGAGATAACTTAGTCGAACCAACTTATTTAATAATTAATTTAAAACTCTTTTTTACATTTATGAATGCATTTATGAATCATAACGATACTTCGGATATTTCGCATCGACTGTTGTTAAATTAATAATACGTTTTATAATAATGAATTAATAAATGACAGAAATTACTTAGTCGACATGTGATAAATGATATTTAAAACTTCAAATTAAAAAAAGAAATAATTAATGTATACGATTCAGTTTCTTCATTCTAATTCATATAAATAAAAAAATAATATAAAAAGTTTGCATTCTATATATGACGTATGTTAAAAAAAAATTATAAATATCTAATAAAGTATACGCACACGCGCGCAAGCAGAGATTAAAAAAATTTATACATAATTTTAATTTAAATCAAAATTTTATATTTTATTTTTTAGATTTTTTTATTAGCATATTATTCTAATGATTATGTAATTACTATCCGAATGCAAAGATTTTTCAAATGGAATATTAAATAAATATTTTAACCTTAACAATTTAATAATTTTAATATCGGTGTAATCAGGTAACTACTAATTCGATATTTTCGAAAAAGTTTTTTGTAATAGTATATCGATATATGTATATATATGTTTATATACATGTTTATATACGATATATATATATATATATATAATATGTATATATGTAATATTATATTTCCCTGTAGTGTACAGTAATATAATATATATATATATATCATTTTATTAGTATAGAAATCTTTATTTTATTTTCATGCTATTGAAATATTCAAAAGTATTTTTTATTCGAAACGTTAGTCGATGCATTAATTTTATCATTATTAAATATCACGTTGATACTAAAAGAATTTTTTAAATAAAAACTAATATTTAAACAGCTAAGCATAATTCATTATCATATTTAATTACATTAGTAATATTTAATATAATATTAGTAGTAGTAATAAAAATGGTATCACTTAATAATCGCAACTTGTCTAAATATCTTTAAAAATTATTTAATTTTATATATAAATACGATAAATGTCTATACATTAATAAGTCTATGGTGGCGTATGATTAACCACGTAATTACTAAAATTCAATTCAGAAGTCGTAAAAAACTTTCGCACAATATAAATTCATGACGGTCTTTCGGTATTTCATAATATAACAATTACAATTATAGGCGCTCAAATTATTTGCGACTTTTTTTATTTTATAGAAGGACAAAGGTGGCCCAGTCCTATTTTTCGATAGCCTCATAGCTATCAATGTTGGGACGTTCCCATGCATGGAGGGAGCATATAATGTTAACAAAGTAAACGGGCACATTACCGTCGACCATTACAGAGTCTTTATTTATGATATGTTGAACTATTAGTATAGTATTTATAAAAAAAAAAAATGTTGTAAAGCATGTATAAATAATAATATGTGCAAACTATAATATTGCGATTCTATAGTATTATGCATATGCGTGTATTATGTATTTAATTGTAATTATATAGTTTTATATGTAGTTTATAAAATCATATTTAAAAGCAATAAATGAATAATTTTATAAAATTATAATGGTTTTCATAAATTTTACTTATTTTCCTAGATGTCAAATATACTTATTTGACGGGTAAATATAGCCAGTTGTACATATGCGCGAATGAAACGAAATACAAGTAACCGGGACATTATTTTTTATATAAATTATATCAAATTTGACATAAATATAAATTACAAATGGATTGCGTTGTACATTATTATTGAGCAAACGAGAAACGGGATGCACGGAATGCACGGAATGCACTGACGATGAGTGAAAATCTTACGCAACAGTTTTAAGTCCTTCAATTTTAAGGATACTGAAAAGTATATTTAAGTGAGTTCCAGTAGTTTGTATTGCTTTATTTGGTGTATCTTCTACGAATCTTTAATCACATAAACATTGGAGTAGACAACGAGTCGAAGCATGGGAGTGAGATTTATATTTTTGTCTCGAAGGAGAAAATGTATTTTAAAGATTCATTGAAAAATATAAAATCTACAATACACATAATTATATATATATATATATATATATATATATATATTTTTTTTTTCATGATAATTAAAATAAATGAAATATTTATGGAAAAATATTAAAATCAACTAGGTGAAATTAGAATCAGTAAATTTATTTAATTCGTGTAAAACTTTATATAGTTATTTGGCGTATTTGACTCTTTATAAAGATTTGACAGACAATTTAAAACGAAACTGTACAATACATGCATCTTGTTAAAGCAAATCAAAGCTATAAAAATACAATGAATGGGACAAAAAGTACGTGATTATAAAGATTATATTTGATGAACATAAATTTATCAGTGTGATTATTCTATTAAACAATATGAAGTGAAAAGCCATAGAAAAATAAGTACACAAAAATAATAAATAGCATATTGCCGGAACTAAATCGATAAAAATGCGCATTAAAAAAGCTATTAACCTTCTCCGTAATATTGTTGATCTTTTCCTAACGAGTTGCAACAAGCAATTCAAAATATTCAATTTAATTTACACGATAAATTCAACAATTTCAAACGAGTTATGTACAACGAAATGTACTATACTTGTTTTAATGAATTAAAGGAGATATCTAACACATACATGTGCACAAGTAGAGTTTCTATTCTCTTAATAAATTCCTATTAATGTGTATGTAAGTACTTATTGTTATGGATTTTAAAGTGATTATTAATAATTTCAACGTTAATATATGGAACCAATAATCACCTATGCCTGGAAAATCATATCAGCTTAATGTGAGCGTGATTACGATTGTCATGAAAATATCTTTTTAAATTAATAAATTATAATTTGATTGAAGTATCCATTTCTTTATTCGGCACATTTATAAATTATAAGATCTCAAGTATTTACTATTTTATTTTATGTTAAAATTGTAAGAAATAAGTACGATCGTTTACCGTATGAGTTATTCACGATAAAAGTATCGTTTATAAAATGTAAAAGAAAATAATATATTTAGAGAAACTTTTCGAGCTATCTATATAAAAAATATTCGGCTGAATATAGTTTTAAATTGTCCAAATACATTTATTAGAATTAAAATTATTTTAAATCCTACTATTATGATAAGTTACCCAATAAAATTTGATACCAATATATTAGAGAAGCTCCAAGTAGTTTGACTATGTATATATATATATATTTTTTGTTTGTGTTTACTCGATAATAAAAGAACCATTACAATTTATTCTATTATTATTGTTCTTGTTTCCAGTAATTTTTGTAAATTTAACAAATCCATTTATTTTTTGTTCCTTTACTTTGATGATATAATATTCACTACATTGAAAATCATTCCAATATCTTTGGATAAAATATTTGAATAAGTATTATAAAGTATTTGCAAATTATTCTAGTGCTAATCACGTTAGTCATTTAAAGTTTTTCTACACTGATGATTGTAGTAATATCATAAGTTGAAACATATATCTCGTTATTTTTAAATTTATTGTTTGCAATGGTCTAATAAAGCTCGTTGAATGCTTTGATAAATTGACTACTTTGTTCCATAGTTACATTACTAATTATAGATTTTTCTGTTGACATCATGATAAATAAATAAGACCAAAATATATGAGTACAGAATCGATAAAGATAAATTGTATGCCTATTTCGTTGTATAAGAACTATTTTGATTATTTTCAATGCTGTATCAACTTAACGAACGCCATAATTATTACCCATCAAAATTACATATTTTATTATTTAGATTTTATATTATGAATTAATTATCATAAGTTAGCTCTGAAACTTTCTATAAAAAGTGTGTAATAATCAATAGCCATAGGAAGACTTGGTTTATTAATTTGCTCATTGGACTATAGTCGAAGCAAAATCTGTAAAAAAATATCTACAGTAATACTGAAAAATAAATGTAGATCTCTACTGTCGATCTAAAATATAAGTCAACTCTAATGTACAGATAACTACAATAAATATACGCGACTCGTTAAAAATTAAGTATCAAGCAATTTCTAAACTGTCAGCATTTCTTACGTATATCATAGGCATTGAATAATTAAAATAATATTTTTAAATTTAAATGATAAATTCCGTAGATAGGTATTTAAAAATATAAAAACGAGTTGCCCGTATTTGACACATACAAGTGAATTAATTGAAATAATTTGATTGATAATATTTTAAATTTATATAAATATTAATAATATTCTTTTATGCTTAATGTCAATAATTTGCTTATACAATCTATGTGAAGATTTTTATACGAAGTTTTGAAAATGCACGCATATTTTGTAGAAACATTCGAAGAGTGCTCTTTAAAATACAAGACTTTTTAATTTTTATTACATAAACCATACACCTTATCCGTGTGAATATTTAAAAATTTGAAATCTACTTAAATTACCGATTAGTGAAATCCTTGATAAAAACTTTCTGAATTAATCGTAAAAAGTATGAATATTTAGTTAACAAAGAGGCAAAAATATCTGAAATACAATGTTATCCATTATTTAGCCTAACGTATGATACAGAAGGTATTTGATTAGAAGATAATTAAATTATTCAAAGCCAAAAGAAAATAAAAGAGCTATTGAGTTTAAATTAAAAGTTCTACGAATTATATAACTACGAAAGAGTAGCGTCACAGTTAGATAACAAAATGTTATTTAATATATCATTATATATTCCTTTGGATTTGAAAGAATTCTTATTTTTATTATAATAATTATTATATTATTGTTGTTGTTGTTGTTGTTGTTATATACTACAGAATGCAAAATGAAGAGGTCAAACAAAATATTTTACAATAATACGACAGGAATATTGATAATGTTTATATAATTCGTAATCTTAATTATACACGAACTTAGAAATTACTTCCTTATAACTAATTTTGTGAATTTGTTGCTATAGGTAATTATAGTTAAACTTCAAAAGTACAATAACAAGTAGTAAATATTACAACCAACATAAAGTTTTATGTCCCAATAGAATGTCAAACAAATAAAGTTGAGTCGGAAGATAAGGTCTTAATATTGAAAAATCATGATTCATAATTGCAGTAACGATTGAAAATGAAAGAATCTTTTAAGCAAAAAAATCTATATCGATTGCAAACATATATATTTCCCTGAATATATAAAAATTGTTCTTTAATGGCTATTTAAGCGTAAGATTATAAACAAATAATATAAGATAAGTATTTAAGAGTATTAAAAAGTATTTCAGAATTTAATAGAAAGATTAGCTTCTTGAATGGGAAAATGAAATATAAAATTTAGCGATATATGCTAGTTGCATCAAATAAATAATACTAAAATGTATGATTTAACATATAATACATAGCAAAATTTAACAATTCCAACAGTCTTCCCAATCATAGTTTGAAAATCGATAAGTTTGCATGAATTTAACTTGTAGCTTCAACACATTAGAGTTGTCGACTTGTTTGTTCAACGTTTTCTTAGCGATAATTTTCATTTAATTCTATTAAACGATTAAAATTGAATTAACTTTGAATCCTTTGTCAATGAAAATATGATCATTTTGAAGACTATAAGCCAGCTAAATAGTAACTTGATTGTACTGTAGTAGTAAAATAATAAACATTATTATGAATATTTTAATTATAGACTAATTTGCCAGTGATTAAACACAAAGTCCTTCGAAAGGGTTTCAAAAAAAAACAAAAAAAAAATTAATAAGCGGTACTCCAAAAAAAAAAAAAAAAAAAAAAAGAATATTGCCATATGTTGTAATACAATACATTATTGTTATATATATTATTGACAGATGACTAACTGAAGCAGATGGTAAGACGGTAGTGAGAGCGAGGATAGGCCAAATATACGCATTCTTATCAAAACTATGATAATTCCTAATGAAAAGCGCACGAAAATATATAAAAGGATTGGCGGATACTGTTGTTACTAAATCAGAAAACTCAAAAGAGAGGTTGAATTTTCATGAAATACGGTCTAAATTCATATATAAATCTCAGTCCCAATATTTTGATAAATTCTTTATAGAGCGATTGCTTACATTTAATTTTAAAAATTTCAGCAATTATAAAAAAAGAAAGAAGAAAAAAATAGAAAGAATAAAATTTGATAATGAATTGTAAATCAATTATTTATTATAAATATGAATGATCTGAATATTATAAACAATTAATATTAAATCATGAATAGCACATTAAACGTATATAAATGTTTAATAAGATCAAATGTAGATTGTCTGCGTGTCTATGCAAATGGTTATATGGATAGTGCATTTGCAACTTTATATTTCTCTTAAAAATAGCTTTTTGTATAGAAAATAAATAAATACAATGACTTTTAAAATAAACCAATCGATGCTTGTTTTAGTATTAGAGGGGATACAACTTTTTTGTTATCAGTTAATGTATAACTTTTTTAATAAATGTTGGAGCTTGTTTTAAAATATTTACTTGAACTATTAGATTGTTAATTTGTCTGCAGGAAACAATTTAAATGGTTATAATGTAACAAGAAAGTGTTAAGCAAAGGCATTTCGTAATTGCCCATGGAAAAATAATTGTAATATTTTTAATACACGCAATGTATAATTTTTCTTTTTTCTTTGTTAAAAATTCTTTTTTAACAAAAGAATTCATTCCTTTTTGAATTAAATCCTTTTATATTATGCTTCTACGTTTTGTAGTAATTAAGGACTGACATAAATCACAACATTTTGGTTTATTATTTTTTTCTTTTATTTTATTTTTAATTAATCAAGTTGTCTCTATAATTCTATATATTGTACCTAAGAAAATAATATAAAATAAAAAAAAAACTGTAACTAAAGAAGATAAATAATATTCTTCTATTGCAGTTTAATGAATTTGTTAAAATACGAAATTTTGTAATTAATGAAATTAATCTTATAAAAGATCGTGTTCAAGTTGTCAAATATCAATTTTGTTTTATTAAAATGCTAAATTAAAACTTTAATTAAAAAAAAAAAAAAAAAAAAAAAAAAAAAAAAAAAAATTAATTCTATATATAGAAATGCACTAGTTTTCGTAAAGAAATGTTATTATTATGCGATTCGTCATGAAAAACTGTGATGAACTAAGGAAAAATAAATAGTTATCTTAATTAAAATTTATAATAGAGCAATGGAATTGTAGCGATTGGTCGGTTTTATGACTCAATTTGCAAGTTTTAATTAAGATAACTATTTACTTTCTCGTGGATGATCTCAGCTTTTTACGGGCTATTGCTAGACAATAAGTTACATGCATAATTCTAGGGATCTTGTACATTTAAAATAAAAGTTGTTTACTTTGTTATAATTAATTTATGATGAAGAATATGCAAAATTATATAAAATTTCAAATATTCAGAAATTTTTATTTAAAAAATGTACACTATTACATCAGTGTATTGGCAGAATATTTTATTTTTAATTCTTAAATATTGTAATTATTATCTTCAGCTTGTATTTAATATTAAAATAATTTTAAATTAATTTATAAACGCTAACTTCACATCACTTGCAGAATATAGTACCTTAGAATCTTGTAATTATTACTGGACACTTGTCTATGTCGTGATTTGTAACATTTTCCTTTTATCCTTTTGAAATATATCTGTTAATTTTTTAAAAAAATTTATACAAACGTTTATTTTAGATAATATTTATTAAATACAGATTTTTATTATTCAGTTATATTTTGCTGAATTTGTAATGATCAATAAATTAGTTCCTGATTGCATTCAATATTAATTTATATCAAAAGGCTCTTATTATTTGTAAGTGATTAAATAATAGTTTCATAATATTAATTCGTAACAAATAAAATAAACATTAATATAACTATATATATATATATATATAGTTATATTAATGTTTATTTTATTTGTTACGAATTAATATTATGAAACTATTATTTAATCACTTACAAATTTGCAAAATGTAATTTCAGTTTTTTATAGGGGTTATGTTGCTTCAATATGGAATCAAAGATTATTATTTAAAAAAACAAATTCATAAGAATTTTTATTGTAAATATATATATATATATATATCATTATATAAGTAGAACAAAATTTTTTGTAATAAATATTAAGTGATTTAAGAAATAAATTAAATAAATAAATTTGTTATTAGTAACATGTCATCAAGTGCTACATCATCAAAAATGGAAGAGAAACACTTTGGATTTACAGATAGTATAAGTGACAAAAGAAATATAAATGTCAACGACAAAATTACAACGAAAGATTTTTTAAATACAGAAGTAAATGTACAGAACATAAGCTTAGAGCCTTCTCTAACAAAACAAGACAAAACAGATATAACAAATAATGACGAAGAGTTATTAATTAAAAATGACAATTTAGAAAATAAAGAAAAATATATTGTCAGTCCTGATAGTGAAACGGTCTTTATTAGTAATCAACGTGATTACCGTAAGTGTATTATTTGCATTTATAACAGCTGCTATTAATGAAATAATAAAATAAAATATATATATGTATATAGATAAAATATTATTACTTGCTAACTATTTATTTTATTTTAATTTGAAACTACAACTCAGAATACGATTAGAAATCTAATTTGCTTAGTTTATATTTTTTTTTTTTTAATGGAATATTATTATTACTTTTTACATAATAATAGAAAGTATTGACTTGAATGTGGAATCTCAAAATAAGGACAGTGACAGTGAAGATATCGCATCTGCAGAAATACCTGTAATGAAACAAGTTGATCCAAGCATAGATGATAATTTGCCAAGCACCGTTACATTGCTGAGGACTCCAGATGGTGGTAAATGTTATGTAGTGGGAACTGCGCATTTTAGTATCGAAAGTCAAAACGATGTTTCAAGGGTATGAAAGATATAGTTTATATACAATATAATTTCTATGACACATTAATATAAATGAGAATTCATTTAGATAATTCAAGCTGTACAACCACATATTGTTATGGTTGAGCTTTGTAGAGATAGAATACATATTTTGGAATTAGACGAAGATGCTCTTCTTAAAGAAGCTAAAAGTCTTGATTTCAGTAAGTTATTTTAGTATGTTATTTAATTAATCATGTAATCTATGTAACATATTATTATTATTTGTAGATAAGATAATGTACACTCTTAAAGAAAATGGATTGTACAAAGGAATTTTCTATATTTTATTGCTAAATATGTCTGTACATCTTACTAAGGTCCTTGGATTAGCACCTGGAGGAGAATTTCGTAGAGCTTTAGCAGAGGTAAAAATGTGGCTGAATAGTTCTGTTTTATAAGTTGTATTTTTTATTTATCTCTATCGTAGGCTAAGAAAATTCCAAATTGCCATGTTCATATGGGGGATAGGCCGATTAAAATAACATTTGCTCGAGCTCTTAGTTTTTTGACATGGTGGCAAAAAATAAAATTTGCATGGCAACTTTTGACAGATAAAGACATTATCAGTCAGAAAGATGTTGAGAAGTATAAATGTCAAGATTCAGTTGAAGAAATTATGGCTGAATTAGCTGGAGAATATCCTGCATTAGGAGAAGTTTTTGTTAAAGAACGAGATATATATTTGACTCATTCGCTTCAGTTAGCGTGTAAACCGAAAATTGGAATATTTGGTGAACCAATTCCAGTACGAGTTGTAGGAGTTGTCGGTATTGGACACACATTCGGAATTATTCAAAATTGGGGAAAAGTCGAAAAATCTCAAATACTCCCAATTATGAGGTATTTATTTTTATTATTAAAATTAATTGCGTAAATTTCATCGATTTTTATTGTTGCTTACTAAAATTCTTTAAAATTATTATTTTTCATATACATCATAGTGATAGTGAAAAAAGATCATTTTTAAAAATTTTATTTCTTTGAATTTAACAGATTACCAAGAACAAAAGTAAATATTAATAATAATTTATTTATATAAGTTTCCTCTCTCACAAATGCAATCTTATTATTATTATTAAACATAATTTGTATTTTTAATCGTTATCATTTAACATTATCTTAATCTCATATTTTTAATCTTTTCATTATATTATGAATAATAGTTTCTATTAAAACTGCATATTGATTTAATTGTATTCAAGAATAAAAATCGATTTCTTAAATTAAATGTTGCTTATAACTTTTATTGTAATTTTTACAGCATACCACCACCTTCGTTGTCTGGTAAAGTTTTAAAGTTTACAATCAAGGCATCTATTGTTGGAACTGTTATTTACATAGGATACAAATTTATTCCAATGTCGATAAATATAATATTATCACTAAAATCGTCAGTGGGGAAACTTATTAATATGAATGTCAGTTAATAGAACAAATTATTTGAAAATTATTGCTTTCAATTCATATATTTGAAAAATACATTTTTTTCTGCTTCTATACTGCTTATAATTTTTGTTAAAGTTTCTTTAATACTGTATTTTGAAGTAATGATGAAACTGAAATTCAACGCAGATAAAACGTTTCGCATTATTTATAAGTAATATACAGACTGGATTTAGTGATTTCAATGGAATTAGATAATTTTAAATCAGAATTATACATAATATTCAATCGGGATGATAAGTTTAAAAATAATCGCTTCTGTATTTGAGATTCTCAAGTGACATTAGCTATCAACTATTAGTAAATTAAATATTTAATTGTTATGTATGCAGTATAATTTTAATTATGCTTACAAATTGTTTTTAAAAATAAATTAAATTTTTTAATTAAGGCCTTCTAAATTGCAATTGACAATAGCAGTGCCCATAATATATTATGTAGGGTTTTGTCCTTGAGCAGCATAATTTGTGAAAGAAAATTACTACTAATGTTTATTCAAATACCAAATAAATTGAAGAACGTCCGGACTTGAAGAACACATAAATTCTGTATTTTTATTTAAAAAAAAAATATATTAAAGAAGAAAATGATTGACACACAGAGATTCGGCAGTGTTTAGAAATGTTGGAAGCTTATGGCTGTTGAATTGTCGTAGCAGCATAGCGACTACTTTATTATAAAAACATCGTACGAAGAAAAGTATAACTTCGAATTATACCGATGTAATTAATTCCGTCCAGAATCTTTTTGACATTTCATGTCTTTCTGATTCTGCTTCTTGCCTTGGATATTTACCGTATTATGTTATAGGAACAAAATACAAAAAGAAAAAAAATTATTAATAGTTAATTATATCTTATTTAAAATTAATTTAATTCATTTATTTTTTTTTTTTTTTTTTTTTTTTTTTTTTTTATAAAAAGCTTTTATTTTCGTGTTCTTAAACGAATGAGATTTCTTTAAAAATTTATTCAATTCATTTATACAATAAGTCGAAGATAATTGTATTCTAGTTTTTAAGGCACTGAAACACAATCTTTCACCGTTTAAACTGTTGTTTTTCTTGAAGAGGTACAGAATTCTTAATTTCAGAAACTTTTTAAAAGAAGTTTATTTATTATTCCATGACAGTGAGTCAAATAAAACTCCAGATTTACTATTATTTAGAAAAAAAAAAAAAAAAAAAAATCAACGTTGACATAATGTTCATCTGAATTTTCTGATTGAAAAATGAACTTTTTTAAAATGTAAAAAAATTTCTAACACAGTGCCAATTAACATTATTTTAATAGCCTGTATGTATATTGAAAGAAAATAAATTTTATAAATTAAAAAAAAAAAAAAAAAAAATTACTTTAACCTTATAAATTATTTTCTTGACTATTAAATACCATTTCCTTACGATTGGGCGGATAACAAAAACAACAACATTAGAACGACACAAGTAAAATTAAAACAATTTTATTTCTGCTTTTTATACATTTTTACAATACATTTTTTTTTTTTTTTTTTTTTAATAAATAATCGGATTCAGAAAAAAATCATAAATATTAAAAAAAAAAGCTATAAACACAACAATTATTATTGCTAAATCGTGAAATTCTTTAGAAAAGGAAGGAAGGAATCCTTCTATAAAATGGCAAAATTTGAGTATTAAGCAATTGATGAAAGTTTACTTTTAAGTTGAAAAAAATTGAAGAATTTACAAATGCTTATCGATGGGAAACTTTTTAAGTGAAGTAAATATTTTTTTTTTTTTTTTTTTTCTTTCGGGCTGTAGTTTTTCCATTTTATTATGAAACGTAATGAACTATATGTTTGTACTTGAGATTATGATACAGTATTGTATATAAATAAAGTCGATATCTTACAAAGACCGTATCAACTTTTATGCATACAGTCTTCCGTAACTTTGTACACGTTATAGCAAGTTACATATAGCAGAGTTGATGTGTAGTTTTAGACTCGTACGTGCAAGTACAATCTCATAAAACTGGCATTCACATATACAAGATTCGGTAATAACGCTTTAGAAAATCAACGACAATATCTGTACAAAGTGCTCTGTACATCAAGGAGGGAAGCAATATTATACAAAAGAAAAATCAAGCCATAGTCAATCGTATTTCGAGATTGATAAATCTATGAACTCGTTATCCAGATTGAAACGATTGTTTCAAGGTACTCAAGACTTTTTTCTTCCTCCTTTTCTTAATTTAAATTACACTCAAAATAAAAACTTTACTAGGGTAACTGCGTAAGACTCGTAATGCTTGGTATTTCGTGAATTTATAATACAGTATATACATTAGGCAAGTCCTGCGTTATCACCATTCTTTTTCATATATATATATATATTTATTTTTTTTTTCTTTTTATTTTTTTTTACTTTTTCGTTCTTTCTGATATTTTATAAGAATATAGTTTCATATAGAAAACTAAGTCTTTATCATAATTATTAATATCTCTTTAATCATCTGGCATATCCACGCAAAGTCTTAGGAAGAAACGTGACATTATATTAAAAGATTTTGTAATATGCCAATGTCGGGCAGAATGTTTATGAGAACTATGTCACGCTAGACGGCAGAATGCTGTTACTATAGTTTCTTTTCAAAATTCATTAATCATTAATCATTAATCATTAATCATTAATCATTAATCATTAATCATTAATCATTAATCATTAATCATTAATCATTAATCATTAATCATTAATCATTAATCATTAATCATTAATCATTAATCATTAATCATTAATCATTAATCATTAATCATTAAATTATTACTATTAATCATTAATCATTAATCATTAATCATTAATCATTAATCATTAATCATTAATCATTATTATTATTGTTGTTATTATTATTCTTTCCTACAATATATGCCCAGATATTCACGTTATGGCAGTTTGTTTGCGATTCGCTCGGACAAATCATATTTAAGCATAATCACAGCAATATAAAGAGCAAATCAGCATATCAAATCCAACGGTAAAATGTTAAAAGAGCGTTTGGTTATCTGGATATATTATAATATGAAATAGACCTAACGTTGAGAATTCGCTAATAATGGCGTACGTTTGTAAAGCTTAAAATAGGAAAATCGGGAAAATCTATTTAAACGATATTTTCCGCGTTCTAAGAAACTAAAAATGACGCTTGTAATAGTTCAAATGCTTCGTACAAAAGAAATCTGTCGCCAATTAAGAAATATATATATATGTAAAACGCTTATCGACTTAGTATGATTTCGGACTGCACCAGTATTGCTATAGGTATTTGCCCTCGGATACTCTATCCGAGTTAGTTGATTCTTAAAAGAATAAGGATTACGCAGGAACACGCAGCACGTTTCATCACCGCACACAATCACCCGGGCCACGCGACGTGATGCACTGCTTTTTACGTTTCACCGAATGTAGCCTAGAACCTGGACTCTGATTACCGCCATTGTTATTATTACTATTGTGTTGATTATTTTTTGTTTTACCATGTCCGCCTGTGTGATTGCTTATACTGCGCGTGTAATCCCCTCGTGCGTTCTGATGGTTTACTAAAATATAAAACTACTCGTTAATTATAAATGTTCATGACTTTAGTCAAACGCATTGAGCAAGATAGTTTTAATAACATATACCATGTGCTGTAGGTTTGTATGATTTTTTGTATGTGAGATGACCATGAGATAACTGATTGTTATATAAATGCCTGTCTTTATTTTTATCCTCACCCTTTTCTCCAGTGTTTGGCGAGTTTCCTCTACTACATTCCGATTCCTATGAAGTAAAAATTAATAAATTCACGAGCCCGACTGACGGTTCATATTACTTCGACAACGTCCAAGACAATTGAAAACCAAAATTACCGATTCACTCGCAGGTGCCGAGAGTGTGGACGCATCAGAACCAGTAGAGCTAGATAGTGAATCCATCTCCGGAGGTACAGGGAATGTCTCCTTGATCCATTTTCGATAATCTATTACCTCATCCGTTACTCTAATTATTCTTCCCAATATACTGAAAATTCACGTGTCGCGTTAAAAATAAATGTAATTGGCACGGAGCGGTCATTCAGAATAAGCAATTTTAATAAGCCTTGGTTGACTCTCACCTGACTTTGTTTGCATCGTTGACTAGAATATTGAGAGGATTGACAGCTTGTGAAAGTACATAGTAAGCCCAGTCAAAAGCATCTTTTACATACAAAGCGCCATAACTACTACGACCTATATCATTGCCTGGAGTAAGCGGATCTTCTATACAGAGTAATGATGGCCTATGTCCATCGATCATATCCTTTTGAACCTAAAGCAGGACGATCCAATTTAATGAGTTAAAAACAGCGTTCATAATAATTTTAAGATACAAGATGATTTTTACAAAAATACCTCTTCTTTTGATATGTAAGCACCACCACCTTTTACACGTATGCCGGTCTTGACATAATTAAATTTTCTACCGTACAATTCTAAAAATTCTATTAATAATACCCCCAAATTTACTTCTGGACTGTCAATATTCGTCCTGGGATGTAACTGAATGAATAAAAAGTAAAAAGTTAATTAAAAGTCGTGTACTCCTGTAGAGAGGAAAACGGTTTATGCGAAACCTACCTGTAAAAAGCTAATAGTCATGAGGATTAAACTATAGGAAGAGATACCACCAGTGAACACTTCATTGAGATCTCTTTGCAATAAAAATTGTTTGAGTACCATCACCAACTTTTCAAGAGCGGGATACTGCCTTTTAAAAGTCTTGATCAATTCTGCAGATTTAACACCATTGTTCATGTTAAAACTAATGTCCACCTTAATTTCAGTCTCTTTGTCTGTAAGCTTAACGATTGGAACTGATGCTCTATCTAATACTTTGACGGACGATGGCTCAACAATGTTTTGATCGATTAATGCTCTTTCAAGTGTGTGTAGTGGAAGATTTGTCCACATTCCTATCACAACTAAATCAATATCACTGGAAAGTAAAGGCTTATATTAGAATACAAAATATTAGAAATTTTCAAAGTAATTTAAACGGTATGTTGTAAGCGATACCTTGTAGGCAGATATAATCCAGTGCGAAAACTTCCAAAAATTTCCACTTTTGAATCTGGCCAAAGATCGTATATTACTTGCTTTATTCTTTTAATGACGCGCAATCGAAGTTTGTGTTCCTCATTTGAAGGGCACATATAAGTAAAGAAGTCTTCAATCTCCTCGTGTAAACTGCAAATATATGGTATAATGTATAAAAGAGTTTTAACTTTAGTCATGGATTAAAGTCTAAAAATATTTCAATGATATACACTCGCTACAATGTACTCGTTAGATAAGTTTGTAACATTTTCAATGCTCATAAACAATCGACAAAGACAAAGCTTAATAACTCAGATAGTATAGAGAATGCAAGGAGTACATATTTAAAAGAAAATGAGCAGTGACAAGTTTTATAGCATCGTCTGTCTAATTAAGCCATGTGACATCCCTAACCTCACATTGAGTAAAAAAAGTAAAAAATTACTATGGAGAGAGAGAGAGAGAGAGAGAGAGAGAGAGTCAGAGAGAAAGGTACAAGAAAAGAAAAAGAGAGAGAGAGAGAGAGAAGGCGAGAAAGAGAGAAAGGTAATAGGAAAGAGGGAGAGAATGAGAGAGAGAATAGAGTAAGAAAGATAAGGAGAGAGTGAGAGAGAATGAGAGAGGAAAGAGATGGATGGTAGATGGTGGGAGTGACGAGGAGAGGTGAGGAGAGGCGCGGAGTGGTAAGGTGAGGAGTGAAGAGGAGAGAGAGAGAGAGAAGAGCAAACTCATATGTTACTTAATAAAAGCTCACCCAAGGACACCCTTGGAGTAATGCTTGTTGGGGATTCGCCAGGGACAGCCACCAAACACCCCAACCAGGGCCTCGTAGTTATAATTCATGCCATAAGTACTTGCACGATTATCGTTTTTCCTCCTAGATGGGTTGTAGTAGCTGTTGTTGGTGTTGTGCTGCATGTTGACACGTGTGTTGCGCTCGTCGTTGTTGGGCCGATTGTTAAGCGTTGGCGACTCCAGCGGTACGAAATCCTGGCTGTTTTTCGTATTCATAGTGCTACCGCCCTGTTGGATGGACCATATGAGAATATACATAAGACATAAAGTTGGAGGAGACGAGCGGAGGATGTGTCCGCGGAATCTCACGGCACGATGCGTCCCTCCCCCCTCCCTCCCGCCCTCCCTCCACCATCGCCACCAGCACCCACCCGCCCACGGGGCCAAAAACGGCTCAGGTCTCGATAGGGGGTAGCCGTGGAATACACGGCCTACGGAGCACGGGTGGTGCTATGATAATCAAGGTGGACGCTGATAATGGGGTAGGCAGGTATGCAAGAACGAGGCGGACGAAGCGTGCGCGAAAGATCGCAAGGTACGCGGATCGCAGGGGGATGGGTGATGATTCCTAGGGAGAGTAGCAACTCGCGAGGTACAAGACACGACAGACTTTTCTCATCATTACCAAGCTCGCGCTGTTATCGTGCTTGAGGCTCAGATTGTCCAGGTCCTTCCCGGTCTCCCAAATGTGTAACCACAAGTCCTTCGCGGGACCGAACTGCTCCGGTTGATAACAACCGATCTTCGGATCCATTAAACCCCTCGGGTGCGACTCGGTTCGGAGGCTGACGTCGTTCTGTCGTCGCGTCCAAGGCTCACCGAAGCGCGGCCCGTGATCCTGTGCGACTGACAAACGGCGAAAACAAAACAAAAAAAAGGAAAAAAAGCTAACCGAGCTTCAGCACTTACACTTCGCACGCACGCATGCACGCACGCACGCACGCACGCACGCACGCACGCACGCACGCACGCACAAACACACTGGACTAGGGTTGTGGAAGGAGGGAGGAAGGGAGGGGTGGGTGGGTGGGTGGGAGGTGAGAGGAGGCGGAGCGGCGG